GTTTAGTCAGGTGTTTAACGTGTATCAGGTTTAGTCAGATGTGTCACGTGTATCAGGTTCAGTCAGGTGTGTCATCTATATCAGGTGTGTCTGGTGTATCAGGTTTAGTCAGGTGTTTAACGTGTATCAGGTTTAGTGAGGTGTGTCACGTGTATCAAGTTTAGTGAGATGTGTCTGGTGGCTCAAGTGTGTCAGATGTGTCACGTGTATTAGGTTAGTGAGATGTTTAAAGTGTAACAGGTTTACTGAGGTGTGTCACGTGTCTCAGGTTTAGTGAGGCGTGTCACATGTATCAGGTTTAGTGAGGTGTGTCACATGTATCAGGTATTGTCAGGTGTGTCACGTGTATCGGGTTCAGTCAGGTGTGTCATCTATATCAGGTGTGTCTGATGTATCAGGTTTAGTCAGGTGTGTCATGTGTATCAGGTTTAGTGAGGTGAGTCAGGTGTGTCACGTGTAACAAGTATAGTCAGGTGTCTCTGGTGTATCAGGTATAGTCAGGTGTGTCACGTGTATCAGATTTAGTCAGGTGTGTCTGGTGTATCAGGTTTAGTCAGGTGTGTCACGTGTAACAGGTTTAGTCATGTGTGTCATGTGTATCAGGTTTACTGAGGTGTATCACGTGTCTCAGGTTTAGTGAGGTGTGTCACATGTATCAGGTTTAGTGAGGTGTGTCACATGTATCAGGTATTGTCATGTGTGTCATGTGTATCAGGTTTTCTGAGGTGTGTCACGTGTATCAGGTTTAGTGAGGTGTGTCTAGTATATCAGGTACAGTCAGGTGTGTCACGTGTATCAGATTAAGTCATGTGTGTCACGTGTATCAGGTTTAGTGAGGTGTGTCATGTGTATCAGGTTTAGCCAGGTGTGTCACGTGTAACAGGTTTAGTCAGGTGTGTCTGGTGTATCAGGTATAGTCAGGTGTATAAGGTATAGTCAGGTGTGTCACGTGTATCAGATTTAGTCATGTGTGTCATGTGTATCAGGTTTAGTGAGGTGTGTCAGGTGTATCAGGTTTAGTGAGGTGTGTCACATGTATCAGGTTTAGTGAGGGGTGACATGTATCAGGTATATTCAGGTGTGTCACGTGTATCAGATTTAGTCATGTGTGTCATGTGTATCAGGTTTAGTCAGGTGTGTCATGTGTATCAGGTTTAGTCAGGTGTGTCACGTGTAACAGGTTTAGTCAGGTGTGTCACGTGTATCAGGTTTAGTCAGGTGTGTCATCTGTATCAGGTTTAGTCAGGTGTGCCTGGTGTATCAGGTTTAGTCAGGTGTGTCTGGTGTAACAGGTTTAGTCAGGTGTGTCTGGTGTATCAGTTTAGTCAGGGGTGCCTGGTGTATCAGGTTTAGTCACATGCTTCACGTGTATCAGGTTAAGAGTGGTGTGTCACGTGTACTTTTTTCTTGGGTTATGTGCATATCATGTATGGTCATGCATATCATTTGTGTTTGAGTTCCTTGACATGTGTCAACCATGTCACATTTGGTCATGTGTGTCAGATTTTGTCACATGTGTCAAGCATGTAAAGTTTGGTCATGTGTGTCAGATTTGGTCACATGTCTCAAGTGTGTCAAGTTTGGTCATGTGTTTCAGATTTTGTCATAGGTGTCAAGCATGTCAGGTTAGGTCATAAACATCAAGTTTGGTTATGTGTGTTAGATTTTGTCATAGGTGTCAAGCATGTCAGGTTTGGTCACTTGTGTCAAGCATGTCAAGTTTGGTCATATGTGTCAGATTTGGTCACATGTGTCAAGCATGTCAGGTTTGGTCATGTGTGTCAGATTTGGCCACATGTGTCAAGCATGTCAAGTTTGGCCATGTGTGTCAGATTCGGTCACTTGTGTCAAGCATGTCAAGTTTGATTATGTGTTTCAGATTTGGTCACTTCTGTCAAGCATGTCAGGTTTGATCATAAACGTCATGTGTGTCAGATTTTGTCATAGGTGTCAAGCATGTCAGGTTTGGTCATATGTGTCAAGCATGTCAAGCATGTTGGTTTGGTCATGTGTCAGATTTGGTCACATGTGTCAAGCATGTCAGTGTGATTATGTGTGTCAGGTTTGGTCATGTGCGTCAGATTCGGTCACTTGTGTGTCAGATTTGTCAAGCATGTCAGGCTTGGTCAGTTTGTCATATGTGTCAGATTTGGTCATATGTGTCAAGCATGTCAAGTTTGGCCATGTGTGTCAGATTCGGTCACTTGCGTCAAGCATGTCAAGTTTGATTATGTGTGTCAGATTTGGTCACTTCTGTCAAGCATGTCGGGTTTGGTCATAAACGTCATGTGTGTCAGATTTTGTCATAGGTGTCAAGCATGTCAGGTTTGGTCACTTGCGTCAAGCATGTCAAGTTTGGTCATATGTGTCAGATTTGGTCACATGTGTCAAGCATGTCAGGTTTGGTCATGTGTGTCAGATTTGGTCACATGTGTCAAGCATGTCAAGTTTGGCCATGTGTGTCAGATTCGGTCACTTGTGTCAAGCATGTCAAGTTTGATTATGTGTGTCAGATTTGGTCACTTCTGTCAAGCATGTAAGGTTTGGTCATAAACGTCATGTGTGTCAGATTTTGTCATAGGTGTCAAGCATGTCAGGTTTGGTCACTTGTGTCAAGCATGTCAAGTTTGGTCATATGTGTCAGATTTGGTCACATGTGTCAAGCATGTCAGGCTTGGTCATGTGCGTCAGATTCGGTCACTTGTGTCAAGCATGTCAGGCTTGGTCATGTGTGTCAGATTTGGTCATATGTGTCAAGCATGTCAAGTTTGGCCATGTGTGTCAGATTCGGTCACTTGTGTCAAGCATGTCAAGTTTGATTATGTGTGTCAGATTTGGTCACTTCTGTCAAGCATGTAAGGTTTGGTCATAAACGTCATGTGTGTTAGATTTTGTCATAGGTGTCAAGCATGTCAGGTTTGGTCACTTGTGTCAAGCATGTCAAGTTTGGTCATATGTGTCAGATTTGGTCACATGTGTCAAGCATGTCAGGTTTGGTCATGTGTGTCAGATTTGGTCACTTGTGTCAAGCATGTCAAGTTTGATTATGTGTGTCAGATTTGGTCACTTCTGTCAAGCATGTCAGGTTTGGTCATAAACGTCATGTGTGTCAGATTTTGTCATAGGTGTCAAGCATGTCAGGTTTGGTCACTTGCGTCAAGCATGTCAAGTTTGGTCACATGTGTCAAGCATGTCAGGCTTGGTCATGTGCGTCAGATTCGGTCACTTGTGTCAAGCATGTCAAGTTTGGTTATAAACATCATGTGTGTCAGATTTTGTCATAGGTGTCAAACATGTCAAGTTTGGTCATGTGTGTCAGATTTGGTCACATGTGTCAAGCATGTCAGGTTCGGTCATAAATGTCATGTGTGTCAGATTTTGTCATAGGTGTCAAGAATGTCAAGTTTGGTTATGTGTGTCAGTTTTGGTCACTTGTGTCAAGCATGTCAAATTTGGTTATGTGTGTCAGATTTTGTCATAGGTGTCAAGCATGTCAGGTTTGGTCACAGGTGTCAAGAGTGTCAGGTTTGGTCAAGTGTGTCAGGTTTGGTCACATGTATCAGATTTGGTCACATGTGTCAAGCATGTCAAGTTTGGTCATGTGTGTCAGATTTGGTCACTTGTGTCAAGCATGTCAGGTTTGGTCATGTGTGTCTGATTTGGTGACATGTGTGTCAGATTTGGTCACATGTGTCATGTGTGTCAAGTTTGGTTATGTGTGTCAGATTTGGTCACATGTGTCATGTGTGTCAAGTTTGGTCATGTGTGTCAGATTTGGTCACTTTTGTCTAGCATGTCAGATTTGGTCACATGTGTCATGTGTCAAGTTTGGTCATGTGTGTCAGATTTGGTCACATGTGTCAAGCATGTCAAATTTGGTCATATGTGTCAGATTTGGTCCCATGTGTCATGTCAAGTGTGTCATGTGTGACTGAGGTTGGTGATATGTGCCTGGTCAGTACTCCATGAAAGGATCTTATTTATTAGACAGGGGAGACTGGTACCCTCTCTGATAAAAACCTGCAAGTGTTGGAGCTCCATCCAGCAGCCAAGCTGCGGTCAATGACAAGCAGTCCAGCTGTAGCACATCTTTGATGAATGCATGGATGGTGTCACGCACAAAATACTCCCCATGCTTGATTAGTCACTGCTTCCACTCAGTCATGGTCTGGTTTTATGTGAAATTTAATGATTTGTATTCATATAAAATTGATTCTTCTATATTTAGAACTAAGATCGACAATGACCTCACTTGATGATTTAATTTTCAAACCATTAATATGTCTTCATTACGTTTCTGCATGACTTGCTGTATCAATTGTACATTACACATCTGCGCCCCACAACATGGGGCTGTGTCTCTCCATATACACAGTCTCCATACACATGCATGCATAAAGTCATTCTGGATCCAGATGCATGCATGATGATGTCACTGCAATCATGACTCAGTGGCCATCATCAAACATAAAAACACCCATCCTTCATGATCTTTCAGAAATGATTTCCAATGTTTAAAGGAATGTGTACATAGGATATCTGAACCTTCTGATATATTGTCTCAAGTCAACAATATGCTAATTATGATAATGAGAATAAGGTATGCCCCAGGAATCTAACTAACAGGTAACTGTGATATGCATGTTGTGATCATGTCTCTTTGTTGTTTAACGATTCACTCAGCCATTTTCCAGCTATATGGTGACGGTCTGTAAATAATCGAGTCTGGACCAGAGACTCCAGTGATCAACAGCATGAGCATCAACATGTGTCAACCAAGTCAGTGAGCCTGTCCACCCGATCCTGCATAATTAAGAAAGAGGTGTAATGTGGACACGACATAGGATTTCATAAGTAAACCAGGACGCTGATTTTATAAAATTGGGTTTGTATGACTTCCCAATGTGCAAAACAGGCCCTGTTGAGAACATCAACCTGGGCACAATGCTGTCTCACACAAGCGTTCTGGTTCATGCAAAAAGAATACAAACACATATGAATATTTTCGTGTAAACGTTTAATTCTAACCTGACCAGATAAAACCAGTCAAATTACTCATATAAATATCTTCGCCTCAACAATAAATACACAAGTAAACGTTGTACAGCTCAGAACTACGTGGCAATGTGACAAAAAACAATTCTAGCTAAATTGAGCCATGCAGAATTCAACCTATTTTTGTGTTTTTTCCAAATCGTGTACAAAATAATACTAAGAACTATGTAAGTCAGTTCATTGCATGACGATCCAAATGTCACTTGAATGTCTAAATATAGCTTTGTCCTTGACTTCTTACTTTTGATTAATTTGTATATATCGACCAAATATACCAAATATTTTAACATCGACACATCCAAATCCTGGGAATTTTAATTATGACTGTGTATCTGTCTTCTTGTCGTACAATAAAACTGAGGAACACAACTAGATCGTCATGCATGTTATTTTGATTACACTTTAAACACCTAACACGACTCTAACTTGACTGGCCAAGATGTCAAACACTAACATGGAAACGCACCATTGTAACCATCACAAAGAGACCGCCATAAGGCCACCAACACCTTGGCCACCAGTACACAATGCATGGTCTCAAATTTAACAGCCCAAAATTGTGTTTGTTACAAAATTTCAAGCAAATTAGTAGGTGAACGTGAGGACTATGGTAGCGGCCACACAAGTTAGTTGGAATACAGCACAACAGTAACCTGTGTATATAGGAGAAGTTGGCAAGTTGGACTGGGGGGACAGGCTGGGACAAGGGGGAGACAACCCAGGTATGGGGTGGATATCACACTAAAATACTATCCCACACTGGAATGTTCTACCATACCTAAATTATGGTTCAAGATATATCAAAATCAGGAATATCAGTTTCATAGCTGAAAATAAGAGCTCAATTAAACTGTTTATAATATTTCCTGTACTGAAAATTTCCGCACTTAGAAAAACACCCAAAAATGAGAATAACACAAATTTTTAGGAAAGCTCTCGTCTGAATGTTGCTTTTGGAGAAGTAGTTCACTGATGTCATTTAATTTCCCAACTTTAAGTGATACACCTAATCTTGAGTGGAGTTCAATATCTTAGATGTATGTTATCAAGTAATGAAGCTCATCTATACATATATGAAGGACTACATGTTCCTGTCTACAAAATGGACCCAGTTAGAATGATTTCATCTATAATATCATACACTTCTTAACTTGGAATACACTACACTATGAAAGTCAATGTTTGGATGAATCTATATGTAGGAACTAAACTTGCCCTGTCCAACCTCCCTCCTCTTCAAATCATTCTCAAAGTGTGGCCAAAGTTCACAATTGATCAACAACGAGCTGTTTCCGGCTCTATGGAGCAGTATTATTGAACACGCACAGATCAAGGGATATCAGTTTCATACAGTAGACATACTATACATAGATGTATTGTCTAACTGTTGCCACTGAACCGTATTCAGTGGTCACTGCTGACAAAGTTTACAAGTATTTCCTTCCATTATAAACAGTAGACTTCCTTGATCCGGCTTCCTTGTTTTGATGGCACTGACAGTTCCATATCACTCAAGCATGCTCTCAACAAAAGTGTTATCACAGGGGTAAACAAATCTGAGTTTGGCAAATTCCGGGTGGAAGCAATCAAGTAACAATGACACTGAGTTACTATAACTCAACAAGGATACACTCAACAACACACATGAAATATATACTGCCATCTTGAAACACACTCCCTTCAGCAAGCTCCAACATTGCCCCTTTACAGAGGGATTCGTTTTTTATTGAATGCAAGTGCACCCTCCTGAATGCTCAAAACAATATTTGAATGAATAATATTCTTTCCTGTCAGATGAATGTAAATATCTGTTTTTTTGTTTGTTTGGTTTATGTTATTGTGGGTCTTTTAAAGATCTTTCTTTATTCATTAACAACTCAGCCATTTTGTTTGATTACTTCAGTACAGTGCTAAAGCTTTGAATATGTGTATGACATCAGGACCAGTGTCCTCTTGTCCTTCTTCAAGAGGATGGTGTATTTCAGTCATGACGCCATGACATGCTACAATAGCAGGAGAAGCCTTGACAAACTGAGAGGTTCTCAAACAGTCAGGTGTGAACTGCAGTGTGAGTGCAAGAAGACAGCAATATCTATTTCCCATGTGTTTTTGATCCAAGGATGATCTGGCAAAATAATGTTTTGGCAATTTATTAAAAAGTAATACTTCAAGTAGACTTTACAAAAAGCCACCAAAATGCATTAATATTATTTTTCCACATTAGTGTAACTAGTTATTTTGGCAGATCATCAGCCATAATAAATGCACAACAGATAAAGGTTACATTTCATATACATTACCATATTGTAATAATGTGTATACAGTCATTGTGATAATAGTTCATATCAATGGATCATTATTACAAAAAAAACTGTAAAGAATGTGCATAGATTCTAAGCTGATTCGTACAGAAAACCCTTTGATTTGGCATACTGTGAATGGGCACATACATCATTTACATGCAAATAAATAATAACTGACAAAACATCTGTAGTGTTTTTTCAACATAAAACACAATATCTATCAGAAATTAGCACAACCATACAATGAATCTCAGAAACATAAAACTCTACCTTATATATTAATTTACCAACTTCCTCCTCAACATAATGAAAACACATCAAAACACAATGGTGGAAAATGTTTACAATTCGAACATTAAGCTTGACTAGTACTACTCATACCATTCTCATTTCATCCTTGTATCCTGAAGGTTAAACAAGAACAAAATCTTTTTGTCATGTTTTCTTATTGTTTTATTCTACTTTATCTTAAAACAAATATCACTAACCAATGTTACCATACCAACAATATAAATATTTTGATTTTCAAGGCATTAAAATTTACAAACAAATGAGAAATAAATAATGACATAAAATAATATTTTTACACAAAAATAAATACTGAAACCCACCAACAAATGTCCAATGTTTGGAACATGTGACCACCTGACAAACAGACTACATAGTATGGCACACAAATCAGTTTATGCACAGTTTCTTAGTTGTGGACCCACTCTACAATCATGGAAGTTTTAGTCTTAGTCATGTCTAAGGCTAACCGTGTATACTGTGTATTGTAGAAACTGAAAAAAATATCTAAAAATACAAGTTTTGATTTGAGCCCAATCAAACAAAGTGTAAGATCTATATATCGATATCCATGGGACCGTCACTGCTGATTGCACACATGTCTGAGGTATGATGTATTTATAATGCAATATTGCACAGCTAAAATGGATTTATGAAATGATATGCTAATTTATGCAAATTATTATGAATCCTGATACACATTTCAGCAATTCTACTGCTACACACTAAAACCGAGTTAGTTAATAAATCTGATATATTCCTGAGTGTATGTATGTTAAAATAATGGCAAAACAATGACAATATAATCACTTGAGCACACAATTGCTACCTTTAACCATCACAAAAACAACCAACTAAAACTTAGGTATACAGAAAAAAAATCCACTCATGTTTGAAATGTATGAAAAATATTGCAAATGTTAAATCTTGTAATAGCACCATAAAAACAAACAAGTGTGACTATTCTGTGCCCTAAAGCATAAAGTACTGTGAGTACCAAAACCTAGGTGATCGCAAAGTTTGGGAATATGGAATAATGAATCTCTAGGGTTTTTTTCTATGATTTACACAAACACAATCTTCCCACCCCCCACTGCTAAATGCTCAGTTGCCCTTTGTCTTGACCAGACTTAATAGCATCAAATAACACCAAACAATTCAGCTATTCACAAATACAGATATTCAGTTTAAAGTTTTTTGGTTGCTGAGAAGAAAATATTATGCTCCAAGTGAAAAAGGAAGAGAAACCATTCCAACCCTGTACCATAAAGCGGCATCAGGTGAAAGGATTGTGGTAAGAGTTAAAGTGATAGACTGTTGAAGATAGGAGGAATAAATATGTGGTGAAAGGTGGAGAAACACAGGTTTCCTGCCTGTGTATACAGTAATGAGACCATTGAGATGAATACATAAGAACAAGAGTCCAAATATTCCAAAGGAAGAGAATAAACTATATCTCTAATGTGTAATGATCAAAAGATCTAAAACAATTGCTATTGATAAGGCGGCCATTTCCCGCTATGATTGCATAATATGTACGATGCTACAATATGTGCATATTTGTCATGTAAAATTGGGGTTGGAAGTGATTATATATGATGAAAAAGCATTTGTCAGTAAACTTGCTCGTCTTGAGATCATCTACAAACATGGTATAAAATGCACAAAACAACATTCATGATGTGGGTAAGTGATGGCAAATGAACAATGACATGTATATAACGTGTTAAGTTGCTAAAACATGCATAGATTCAATAAATAAATAGTTGACCATTGCACATGTGGTAGTGATATGCTGAGTCCCTCTGGTAGGGTCTCCTTCCTCGTCTGCACCAATCAGCAAAACACTTGCTAAGTCTCATGTTTAACACCTGCAGTTTCAGATATAGTTGGTATTGGAACTCTATTGTATGTTCCGTTTTGATCATTTTAGTTTTTGTATCATGAAATATCAAAATGAAAACCACTTTATGGCCTAACATAAAGAACTGTACCCCAGGTTATCCAAAGGAAGTCAACTGGACGTACAGGGTGTTGTTTACCAATCTTATCAGATATAGCAATGTTTTACTGAATTGCAGGCACACATCTCTGCAAATTTATGCAGGAATTATAATACTGATGAAAATTCAGCCTCTCACCCAGACCAGCCTTGCAGTCTTGGCTGTCATGGATATAAACTGATGGTCCATTATGGCACACATGGACACTGTAGCTGATCCAGAAGAACCGTCTACTTTAGTCAGCCAGATGCCCATATCAAACTATTGCTTCAATACACAATCCCTTTGTCTCTGACGTGATGATGATGCTGACCTCGCTTGTACCAAGTGAGGTGTGTCCTCCTCACAGGTATATTGCCTCAGTTTGTTCTTACATCCAACAGATGAAGAAAGTCTAAAGTCTACTCACTCACATTACAGACTTTCACACTACGTTAAAGCCCACCTTGTCTTTGAGGTCCACAGCACAATATACTCCTATTCTAGGGCATAGTTCCTGGTTTTTGTCTAGGACTTCACTCACATGACATAAGGCTTTCTCTGCTCCATCATTCTGGAGTCATGTGCTAGAGTTCAAGAGGCACTGCTTCTGGGAAAACCCTAGAGAAACACTAGTGCTGCTACCACAGTTTGCTTATAAACGTTTCAAGTCTGTAGTAGACAACTACTGAAACTACAAACTAAATGCATATACAGAACTAAATGGCCAAGTGACCGTATTGCATGAGAATTGTTCTCCTATTGTAGAGAAATATGGAACTGCATCACACAGATGCCATCGGTTCCGAAGACACTGAATACTCTACTGACGGAAGTGCTGCATATATAGAAGTGGTCATATGGTGTAACCACTGAGGTTGCTAGAGTCTAGTCTTCCTGACACATGGGTCAGGACACGCCATTCTTCTTCCCTACGGGCAGATGGCGGTGGAGGCCATCATTCTGACTGTGTCGATTCCGACTTTTACGAGTTGAAAATATCTTTTCACATCCATTGATGGTGCACTGAAACATTTCCTTTGGGTGTACATTCTCAAAATGTTCCTTCAAAGCCAGGTTGTCCCTGAACTTGGACTCACAGAGATGGCATGAGACGGATACATCAGAGGAGTCATCACTGCCTGCATGGCCATTGATATGGATCTCATCTTCTTCCGGCTCATCATCAGAGTTGCATTCAGACCCAGCTGATCCAGAGGCTGATGGGGAGAGATGCCCGTTCCTCCCGCAAGTCTCATTCTCAATGAAGTCAGGCCCATACAAAGACTGCAGCACATTTTCTCTCAAGTTTTGCATGTTGGTGCTGGAATCTCCATCCTGTTCATGGTCATCTGATGAGAGCAACTTCTTATGAAGGCCTAGGTTTGAGGCATGACGGTCTCGGCTTCTCTTGGATGGAAATGTAGCACTGCAGCCATCAACTGTGCATGGATGTACAAGCTTCATGTGTGCATTCCTGTAGTGGATCTTCACTCCAAACTGATTCTGGAACATCTTTCCACATGTCAGGCATTTTTGGGGATTGGTCTTGTCAATTGGAATTTCCAAGTCTTCAACTAGGTGGCCATTTGTGTTCGATTCTATGCATGAATCTTCAGAGTCTTGGTCAGAACGACATGGGGAAGAGCATGGGCTGGCTTCATGGACAGAAGCAGAGTGATTTTGGAAACTATCATCAGATGCAATGCTACTGTTGTTGTTATTGTTCTGATGGCTGGAGTTGGTTAAAAGGGATGCAATCTTTGGGAAATTGATGGAATTTCGTTTTCTGCTTATTTGCTCTTTGAGGTCTTGGTCTGACTGTAGTTTGTCATCAGGTCCACAGTGGATGCCATTACCACAGCCCATGTCTTCATCCTTCTCACCATCTCCTTGCTCTACCTCATCCTTTGGTTCTGACTTGATGCATGAGTCCTGTGGATGGCGATCTGATTCAGACTTGCCATCCTTACAGGATAATCTCCTACCTCTGCCTGCGAGAGATTTGCCATTTGAAGGATCTTTGTCATCTGAGTTATCATCTGACATCACATACATCTCATCATTTTGAGCACACCTTGTTGGAGCATTGCTCTTTCGACGACTCCCCCCTCTCTGTACGTTGGATTCTTGTTTGCTCTCCTCATCTAGTGGCTCACCCTCTTCCACAATATGGTTGCTGAGGTCCTTTGGTTCATCGTGATTGTCATCTGAAGTGTCATCCGTGTCAAGTCTTGGTCTTTTATCTGGGGCATGTATATATGCAAATTGATTGTTCATGTCAACAAAAAAGGCAGGATCAGCTCTCATCAAGCCTTGGGCATCCACTCCTGGCAGTGCACCTCTAGGAAGTAGTGATGGAGGGACTACCATTGTTGGTGGGCTGTTTATCATCCTGACAGACTTGGCATCATCATAGGGTCTAGGACTGTCACTCATGTCTTTCCTCTTAGTTGCCATGTGGAGCTTTGGGTTGGGATTTGCACTGTGACGATTGCGACTTCTGCGGGAACTGAACATCATGTTACAGCCATCAACTGTGCATTTATGCATTTCTTTCAAGTGAACTGCACTGTAGTGAATTTTCAAAGCACCCTTGTCACAGAATGTCTTGTTACAAGCTGTACACAGCACACGCTTCTTACCATTCGGCCCAATGAATGTTTGACCAAACCCAGCTGAAGGTGTCCACTGACGCTTGATTGGGTGGTTCGACTTTCTCAAATGTTTGGCTTTACTGTCATAGTCTGGCGAGGCCGGGTCTTCTTTTGTTGAGTAATCAATAGCCCCCAGAGACTGATCATCATCGTCCATGACACAGATGCCACCAGGCACAGCTGCATTCTCGCTGCTATCAAGATTCCTCTGTGACATGATTGGGGAGGGTGCTGAGTGGATAGATGTAGGTGTCGAACAGAGATTCTTCGGACTGTCACTTGATGGGGAGGAGCTTGCTGCTGGTTTGTCAACTGAGTTGGGACTTGGGTCTGGGCTTGTCTGATCTCGCCGAACTCAAAGGGTTGCATAGTCTGGAGTCGGCCAAGAGGGGAGACGGATGTGGAAGTTGCGTTTGAGGTAGGCATGCCCAGAGGTCGAATATCTCTTGTGGGGGAGTAACTGGCCTGCAGGAGAGGGGGAGTCAACAGTCGGCTGCCCGGAGGCAGGAGGGGAAGACGTCCAGCAAACAGAGGTCGTGCTTCATAAGGTCGAATGAGGCCCTGTGTGGTGCTCAGATTGCTGCGTTCAATGAATTTCTTGATCTCTGACTCTGCCCGTGTTGTCTGCTTGATGTACAGGTCTTGTTTCTCTTTGGTGTCCTGAAGAATGATCTCCTGAGCAATGGCCTTGGTCTCTCCAAACCGCAAAAACTGCTGAAGAATGATATGTTCCTCCTCACGGGATGCAATCGTCCACTTGTCTAGGACACGGCCATTTGAGTCCTACAACAGAAGGTAGGATTTATCAATAAAACAGCCTCACAACAGTTGTTCAAATAACAATATAGTGGAAAAACTGTCAAACAAATAGCATACGGGAAAATATACAAAGCAATAAAGTACCATATTAGAAATAATGCCAACATCATTTGAATAAAGAACTGGAATCAATAAATGTTTTTGTTGGGAAAATATTCATTTACTTCGTGGCCATCATCACCAATTGTCTTGTGGCTACTTAAGATGGCTGCCTAACTAGGTGGCGAGGTGGTAGGGTAGTTAGTAGGAGTGTGTCAGCTACTCTCCCGGCCCGGTATGCCCCCCTACAGTTCCCTGACAGTGATCATATCGCTCTCCTATACATCACCCTGACAAACTGGGGCAAACTGCCTGGCTATATCTCCTGCTGCCTGACACAGCTCCCTGAAGTGGACAACAATACACCAGCTCATCATTTATTCCTGGACAGTCGCCTTTCCCAGGCATCCCACTCAATAACCAGTAGTATGGAGCAGATACAATAGTCACCAATGCTAGAAATTAATTTCTTTCACCAACAATTTGGCTCAACAAACCACATGTGTGAATCATTTTAGGTTCTTCTGAACAAATGTTGGCTCAGTTAAACCAGTTTACAGTATACCTATGACATTTGATACATTTGGTTTGGGGAGAAGAAGTATTCTCACACTGGGAATTCCTGTACGACACAAAGTGATCAGAATACTGAGAAAAAACAAGTATGCCTGACCGACCATACAATACAGTCTTTTTGCTGCTATGAGTTGTTTACAGACCTGTTTGTTTGTGAGGGAATTAACACTGTTATCTAGCATACAGCCTAAATATGGATGTAAACTTGTGTGACTAATCCCACCACCACACACACATCCCTACCACTGATGCTCACACTCAAAGTGATATTCATTTTACAACATTGGAAAAGCAACACTTCTTTAAGTATACTAAATTCATTCATGAAAGTTTGGTTGAGAGTTACAACAATCGGAATGAATACATTTTATGACTCTATTACTCCAAATCACATTACATAGAATGGCATCATTTATCATAATTTCTCTTCTAATATAACCACAGGTAGCCCCGATTAAGAAGTTATGACATGTAAGTTAATACCCTGAGAAGAAGTTCTGCAGATTAATATTGTACACATTTCGAGGATAGACATTTGTGATTAGGCCTGTGTCTACAGATGAACACAAACTGACAGGAAAACGAAAGATTTACTTGAACATTAGATTTCACCAAATCAAATGCTGACATTATCCAAACATAGTTGGCTGACAAGTCCAAACCACAATATTTACACACATATAAAATACATCAAGACTGAAAAAACATTCCTTGTTCATCTCATTGTTATTTACGGTGTCCGTGTCGTTAGAGTTTAGATTCGAACCTCTAGGGTTGCAGCTGAGACGGATGTTCCTATCCCTCTCTAAAGGTATCATATAAACAGATTCATCTCTACCTCTGTAGGCTGTTGGCAGAAAGTTCAACATAACAACTTGTTGTTTGATACTTACAAACAGGTCACTTGCCAGTCAATTAAACTTCACATGGTGACCTTCAGAACTGATCAAATAAACCACATTTTGATACAATGCTATATTTATGTAAGTACTAAATGCATTTTTTTCAAAAACATAGAATTTCCTAAAATAGCCAACCCACATTTTATCTCAACTTTCATGCCTTATGCATGAAATGTTCTATTTAGAAAATACCAAATGTTTAGCACAGTGCAAATGAATAATTAATTCATGCTTGTTCATGATATACCATGATTGTTTTTCAAAGTTTTTAATGTCTACAAACAGAACAATGGTTTACTAACTTCACTTGTAGAAATGTGAATGTCCTGACCCAGTGCCAACCAGGACCATTAAAAGGTACAGTATTTCTGAGTTTTCACCTATTACCTGTGTCAGAGTATTCTTGTGAATCTTATATCACCAATGGAATACTACTCGCTGTGTTGAAGTTTGACTAAACCCATTTCACAGCATTATGTCAAAGCTGTGGCCGTGGCCGTGACTGACTAATGATTTATAATCAGATGTTTAATTAATATGTATGCCTTCATTCTGTGGTAATCTGTAGTGATTCAATGTAGGATGAATGACCTAACACTGTTTACTTGCAGCAGTATTGCATGAGTTTTCTATTGACAGTGTTGAGACGTGGCCCTCACTGTCTCCCGAGGACAGTGTTGAGACGTGGCCCTCACTGTCTCCCGAGGACAGTGTTGAGACGTGGCCCTCACTGTCTACCGAGGACAGTGTTGAGACGTGGCCCTCACTGTCTCTCGAGGACAGTGTTGAGACGTGGCCCTCACTGTCTCCCGAGAACAGTGCTGAGACATGGCCCTCACTGTCTCCCGAGGACAGTGTTAAGGCATGGCCCTCACTGTCTCCCGAGGACAGTGTTAAGGCATGGCCCCTGATTGTACAACACCTACTTTACATCTACCATTTACCAAACACCTAAATTTACAAATATCTGCTCCTAAACCTTTCAAAATCACATTCTACTTTTTACAAAAATCAAATCCAGATCCTACGGAATTACGCTTATCCATTTCCTAACCAGATCGTGTCTCCATTTAGCTCCACAATCAAGCGAGTTCTCCACCAACTAATCTAAGCAAGTGATCCTTGTCTGCAAGTCTACATAGACAATGGCTGTTGCCATCACTGGTCCTTTGTGTGGTAATCTCCTCGCCAGGCTCCCTTGTACTGCCAAGGTAGTAAACATCATTACTGAAGGCGACCTGCCATTTACACATCACATAAATACAAGTCTCGCTTCTTCACAGTCCCACAACAACCATCTGTCCTTCAACACAAAAATTGAATCCTTTTCAGACACATTTTTTACAACAGCCTAACTACAGAATGTTTGTAATTGGCTTGATTCTTAAATCTGAGGGGCCCATTAATATCCTTTGCTTTCAGGTAAATGTTTTAATTCTATTTCATGATTCTTGAGTCAGGATTATGGACCACGCTGTTCATGATAACTGTTCAAGTTTTAGCTCAGAGTTATGCAGAATGTTTAATATTTGCAGATTTTCCAGTTTTATCACCCAGTAACATTCAATTAAGAATATAAGATATTTATTGCATAGCATTCCATGAAGAAACAGTGGCAATATTCTATAAGCTACAATTTACACAGTAGGTACAAGAAATATGGATACATTTCACACATAAATGATGTACATTATAACAATTTTTAGAAATCATGTGGTATAATGACATGGAAATAATATATGAGGAGACTATGGTAAGATATAAAATTCATTCAAAGTTGTAAAGATGGTGACATATTTTGGAAATTGATTCAGGACTTCTGTTCGTGAAAATTATTAAGAATTGTTCTTTTTTTGAGAGTGTAGTAAATTCTTGGTCATAATAAAGCATTGTGTGTATTATCTCTCAACACATCAAACATATAAGTACTTTCCTTTGTTGACAAGCAGTTGGTGAAATTTTTATCAGCCTGTTTGGTATGGTTATCTGGAAAAGCCCGGGGTGTCCATGTGTTAGGTAAAGCCAATATCCTCAAACTTTGATCTAGAGATGAAGATTGGCATGAAATGTGATCATACTTATTCTTATCTCAACCCCAAGCTCCCAAGGTGCCCCCCACCCCCTTCCCTTCCCTCCCCAGCTGGCCCCATCTGGGAACCTGGTGATCAAACCCTTGTCACTGTAGGTAATCGGATCCATGATTAAACATGACCCTCTGTGGCACCAATGGCTGCCCCCATGTTCCCTCCATCACTAAGTGGACTATGATAAGAAGAGCTACTGCCTGCCTGCTGTTGGATGCACACTTATCCAGTCTAAAGTCACGGTCATGGCTATGTCAACACCCTACACAAAAAAACAGCCCAACAAAATGATCAACTATTTCAGTGACATTTTAAAAAGTTATTTAAAAACATTTTGAATGACAAGGATTTCAAAAGTAGTCTTAATTCAAGGTATCTCCAGGGCCCTGATAAAGATGAACATCATGAACAACATGGGTGACAAACTCTCTTTTGTGTAATTCATAAACATTGAAGGACTTGAGGCCACTCAATGGTCTAGGTTTTTACAGGGGCGGATACAGCTTTTTGAGAAAGGTGGGGTGCACACTCTTGAGAAAGGGAGGGTGCACACTTCATTTTCACCTGTTTTCATGGGTCATTTAATAAACTTTCAGGACAAAAGGGGAGGTGCACACCCCTGCACCCCCCTCTAGATCCGCCTATGCAACCCTGATGAAGACTATAGAGGCTGCCTGATAAAGTCTGAATGAAGACTGCCTGTGTCTCTGCTGCCTTGTGGCCATGATACATCAACAGGGCAGCCCTCTGATAACATGCCATCTCTTGGGACTGTCATATCATCATTAGGGCACCTTTGTGTGTTGAACAGATACTGCTGCTCCCAAACATCCACTTCCCATCTACTGGGTGGGATGTGTGCCCCAGTACCTGTGTGTGACTGATGATGGTGGTACTGTAGGGGTCAGTGAAGGGGAGGGGACGGAGGGCTGTCACAGACATATATGGTCAGCACCTCAACCCTCCACTGCCAACAGACGCAGATCGTATGTGTACTACATCAGTTGATGACATATGTTTATAGTCCATAATTACAGAATCTTGTCCTCAAAAATACCTCAAAGAGCACAATATTTGTATACATGTATATGAAAGCACATTCTCTTTTGCTCAAAACAGTTCCACATATTCAAAAATGCAGGAAGTCTGCAGCTTGACTGTGTGTTTTTGGACATACATTAGATCCATCTTATCTCTATTCACGGTGTCCAAGCACGTCAAGTAAGTGACTGCATTAAGACCTACCACCTGGCCAGCTCATCAGACCCCTCCCTGACTGACAAACCAGACCTCTTGATCTTCAACATCTATTTACTACCTACTGAGATCCAATACTTATGTTGTGAGAGTGGTCAGTGGGTTACCATAGCAACAGAAGATGGTGACTGACAGTTTGGGTATGTTGTTGGCAGGGAAGATTCTACAAGACAGAGCACTTCCTGTGTGATGCTTGGTCTGGTGTTTACATTTCCGCTCCAGGCGTCTCTGACAGTCCCGATCTCTACAGACACAGGGACAGATACGCCATATGGCACATGCAGCAGACATGCTCTGGCCTGACACAAAGCTTTAGCTGCCATTATCAACTGTTGGGAACTTTGAAACATAACACTGACATGCACCAACTGTTTCTAACTTTTGTCACAAGGGAGAATTGTTCTCTTCTTTAGCAAGAACCTTGTAAATTAGAAAAACTTTATCACAAACACAGCTCAATTTATCAAAAGCATGTTCTTCTTAGGACAGAAATATAATAGTAATTTTTGTATTCATGAACTTATAGTCAGGGTTCCAGGCGCAAGTTTTGGCCATTGTGTATTTACTTACATGTCACCATTCAGTTTAGCTAGTGATAGTTTTCTTTTGGTAATCATATTTTAATTCTATTGGATTCTCCCCATTTTAAACCAATGACTGAACCTTTCTAAAACTTACTCTGCTTACAATTTGTATCTGTGCATCATTCACTAAGATGTCTCCATTCCATCATGACTGAAAGATGTATAAAGACAGGCATGCAAGCCCAAACAACAACATTGGGTAATTATTAATCATTCTTAATTTTTTTAATGCATTGTCCAAAGCTCTATATATTAGATTCATATGCACTGGTAGAGATGACCCAACAAACGACCTCCTTTAAAGTATAGCATGTACCAACAGTGGAAGGGTAAGTATAGCACAGGTTGTCACTGAGACTCTTCATGGGGTGAAACTGAGTTATCAACCCCCTGCAGGCAATTTGCATATGTTGATAGGGAAAGGTACACAGAGATAAGGCTGTTGACAGGAAGCAGCAATGTGCTCCAGTTGTCAATAACTGAGGCTTATGTCAACATCAGCTGGTTGGCCAGGAGATGATAGATGTGTGTGATGTAAATACCGGGGTGTGAATGCATGACAGATGTCTAAATGGCATTATGTAACCCCAAGTTTGATGTTAATGGCACTTTGCTGTTATTTCTTACTACAATAAAAAAATGTGTATAATAAAATTAGTTCTGTTTGCAGCATTAATGATATTTTCATATCTTGTCATTTTAAAATACGTAATTTTATGTAGAATGATATTTACATACTCAAGTGTATGTCTAAATCTAGTAAATTGTTTACAGACATTCCACATCTACATCAACACAGCAGTCGAGCAAGAGATACACAATATACTAGTAGCTGATAGTTGGCACAATTTCCACTGTTCTTTAATGCTATTAATGACAACTTCAGACATTCAAATCAGGAAATCACCAACGTTTTATACAAAAACACTGTCACGATTTCTTCAAAATATTTGGCAACAAACACCCTTACGTTTGTTTGGTCACTCAAGTGTATTTGTTAAAGGTAGACAAAGCCGGAAATGGTATTTGTGTTGTAAGTCAGTGACCACATTGTGTGCTCATTACAGTAATGACAGGTCTGCCTACCTATCAGACGTATACTTCCACCAGACACATAAATCTGCTTAAGTCCATCTGCATAACTCACCAAAACAAGTACAAGTGAATAATCTCAATGGAACTATTTCTAACTGAAAGTGTCCTGGTCACTACCTGTAGTGACACTACCCCACATCCCTGACACACCCCAAGATGACACTTCCCTCCACCCTGACACACCCCAAGATGACACTTCCCTCCACCCTGACACACCCCAAGATGACACTTCCCTCCACCCTGACACACCCCAAGATGACACTTCCCTCCACCCTGACACAGCCCAAGATGACACTTCCCTCCACCCTGACACAGCCCAAGATGACACTTCCCTCCACCCTGACACACCCCAAGATGACACTTCCCTCCACCCTGACACACCCAAAGATGACACTTCCCTCCACCCCCGACACACCCCTAGGTGACTCGACCTTCAACCTATGTCCAAGGTGACACTGTGTCACATTCATCCATGACAACTCCCATATGTCCAAGGTGTCATCATACAGCCCCTGTGACACCCCATGAGTCCAAAGAAAATTCTTTCACTTGTGTTCTCCTGCCTACATATCAGACTGTGTAAACTGATTATTACACTAATTCTTTGATCACGACAAACATTTGATTTCCTCTTGCTATATTTACACTTTGACCACACAATTGGGTTAAAACAGGAAGGATATAATCAAAGTGGATTTACCTGTCCTACCTGAAGGATGTATCCCCTGGCATAGTCCTCGTACGTCCAGCCGAAGCCATTGAGTACTTGCAGCACCTCGTCATGCTGGAGGACACTGAATAGACGGTCCAGAAGAATCTTCAGTCGAATTGGTGTTGCCTGAGCTCCATACAGCATCAGACTTGCGATGTCGAAAACAATGTTGGGTTGAACAACCTCCACCTGCATCCCGAGGTTGAATAAGTGTGCGTAGCCGAGCTTGTCAAGAGCTGAAATTGACAAAATACACCTTAGTCACTTGACATTAGTTTTAAACAACTTACACTGACATACCCCGAACATACAAATCAGTCACTTGGCAATAAACAGTTTTAAACACCAATATACCCCCAACAATGATGATATCATGACACCAAGAAATTCACTCAGCATAATGAGAATGTTTTGAAAACAACTAAGAAGAATAAGATGATATTGTGATTGACAAAATGCTGTGATGAATAAGCTTAGAAACAGAAACAGCATTTATCAGAATGGACACCTTGACTTGGTGAATGTCAAACATATGACCAGAGCAAGTATAAACCAAATCTGTTTGCATAATGGTAGATAATACATACACCGATGCCACTACGCAACAGTTGACTGTCAGTGGAGACCAAGAGAGTCCACTACATGCACTGTCCTACAAAACACAGTACATGTCCCAGGCAGGTGATTGTGTCACCAACTGTTGCTTCCTCTCACACAAAGAACTGGCAGCAGAATGACTGTCCTTGGCTGTGACAGGAACTAAGACAGAAACCAGAAGCTAAGTGGGCCTCCTACACAGTAGGAACATTGGAGGGGGTAGGGGACAGGCTGCATTGGGCAACAGGAGTGGGGGGTTGAGGGTGATTCCTGTTGAGGGGCAGCCCAGCTGGGGGGAAGAAGACAGCCGGAATGTCCTCCTCCAATCTGGAAGCATCCTCTGGTCATGTGACAGGCACATGGAGGGTGGAAGGTAGATCAGGTTTCAAGGCAACAGATAGTGGCAGGAACTGCTTCCAGGTCTTAAATTACATCAAGTTGCTAATGATTGGATTCCTAATCATCAATACTGAACTAGGTGCAGTATATGGTAAAATGGATAAGGTCTCTTAGACACTGCATAAGATACTGATGTTTACTCTTTTTCAATTATCTTCATATCAAAACATATGAGAAAACGGCAAAGGAAGTGAACATAAATTATTTCTGACAACACACACAGAAGGGGGTAGTGGGTACAGTACTGAAGAACAGGGTGGGGGTAATGTCACTGATGAGAGGTGGAAGTAGGATGACAGCACCAGCTGGAGGAGGGAGTGGAGCTGTCCTGTCCCCATCTGGCAGTGGTTAGTGCCTTTTCTGGTGTCAGGTGACACAAGATGGCACCCATACTTCAAAGACTTCCTGGCTGTCCCCAGACCTACCCATGGTGCAGACAGAGGTGAGCTTGATGCTCCATTACACAACCAGCATGTCCACAGAGCAGGCAGACTGGACAGAGGGCTGGAGAACCGTGTTGATGTTAGCACTGCTCCAGAGTCATCATCAACCTGGTTCATGTTGTCTAAGAAAACAGACAGCTTTGTTTTGTGACTACAGAGGACCAGAACCGAATACCCTCAAGGACACCTGGATTAATACACTTTGCTGGTGGAATTTGAAAAGCATTATAAACAACCACCACAACAACAGCACATATCAGATACAAGAATGTACACGAATGTCGATACCGCACATTAAGTAAAAAACTCTGTTTTATATGTTTCTAGAGTATTTGATTATTCTTAACTCTTTCAATCCGGAATGTAATGGTATGGATAATTTTTAAGTCAAGTTCAGAGTTAACAGAGTTAAGAAAGTTAACAGTTTTGACCAATGTTCAAAGTCAGATTAATTGAATGCAATCTAATACATTGAGAGGCTGAGCCTGCTTGAAGTAGAACATATTACCCTTCACTCTCCTCATCCCCTTCCCTCAATGCAGCTACATATCTCTCACATGATTTAAACTCATTAGTCAAACTCGGAAGAGCATCTCACAAACCATGCAAGACAAAATTCGGTTAATTCAGCTCGTTAAGATTTTGTCTCCTTTAAAACAAAATTTGTCCCAAACCAAACTGACTGTCCAATTGTGGGCCAAGCAAAGGAGATCACCTTGCACATGATTAAACCTAATTAGTGCTGCTCAGAGAAATCTTATGCAATGGTGACCAGCTCTAGTTCTCTAATTGTGTCCTCTGTGTTGGGAGACCAGAGTGCCATATCCCTTACACTGACCTCATCCTGGCCCCTGGTCAAGCCTGGCTTTGATGTGGTGTTGGTGATGGACAGGGGGTAACATGATCACTGGGAAGTCCAAGGACCATGGTCAAGACTGGTAACACTATTTCCAGAATGGTGGGGGCCCAACAGGGAAGGATGGCTGCAGATGTGGTATTGGTAGTACCAAATACTGGGGCTCTGGATAGGTGCGGCCAGCAGTAGAATGATGCCACCACTGACAGTTCCAGAAAGGAGGGAGTAGTTCATTGTACATGGAGGTACAGCGGGTCGACTCTTGGGAGTGGTAGATTGGGTTGAATGATCAGGTGATTAATGGCACACAAGAAAGCATTCTGTGGGAGCAGCAAATAAACAATAATGATGGTTGAAGTTTGACACTTCAAATTACTATCACAAACATCATAGTACTTTACACTGGTTGGAGGAGAAAAAACATATCTCTGCTCACCTTTAACATTCCATCACACCAAAAATGAATGTTTGAGATGTGACTTTTGTAGGATATGTCAAACTAAGAAATGAATACTGATCCAGGGGTATGAACCAGCACTGATATTACACTGCCATAACTACAACCCTCCTGTAGCCACCCAAACAAACCCTATCAACCCCATCTTTGTCTCCCTGTGCTCTATCCACACATGGCACACATGGATGTGGCGCCAGTGGGGCCTACTTTGCATGGCATGAATGGCCTCCCCTGCTTGGGCAGATTCAATTAAGTATGTGTTTCTGTGTTAGCCAGAGCATACCCTATGTCTGTTCACCCAACAGCTGAGTTATTGAATAAAGGCTGCACTAATTAGTGTTGGGTGACTGTGAGACAGTGGACATTGGAGCAGGAGGGAGAGGTCTTGCTGGACTGGTGCATGACTCACTCACACAGTCTGTATGGTCACACACATACAATTATCATCAACACATGCAGCATATTTCAGATTCTGAAAAACTTATCTTGGACAGCTATGCTACCTCAGTGGTTCATCAAGCAGCAGCTCCCAGCTGGGTAATCATATAGTCACAACATCATATCTATATATACCAACGTAGATCCCGTCTAATATCACAAACAACATTAAAAAGATCTACACTGTTCCATAATTTTAGAATATGTATGACCTATTTTGCATATCAATTATTATGAAATCACCTAAAAATGAAGGACATTCTGAATTAGCATAAGATACCAAAGATAAAAAAGAAATCCAGACTCAAAACTGCAGCTTTGCAAATTGGTTCTGTTTCTGATGAGTATATTTGATCATGCCCTTCTATCAACTTCTAGTCTGATAGTCACCCTGACTTGGCCATATTTGGGAAATGTCGTAATGTGAACTCAAATAAAGTACTGATACCAACACACAGCGCAGTGGACACCTCCTGTAAGGTCTCGTATCAATGCCCCACAAGAACAAAAGGATATATCGGTAGGCACATTTAAGAATACCCAAACTTGTTGAATACCCACTTGTTCTCCTTTGTATATTACTCTAATGTAACTGAATCTTAGCACAGACTGCTTAACCTGCTTAATATGATTATTCTGATTTGCCAACTTTTTTAAGTTGACTGTTAACTGGGTGTCGTGACTACTCTACTGTGTCTGTTGTGTCCCCCTCTCCCCACCCCCACCTTACTGGCTGCATCAGTGATGACACACTTCAAAGTGAGACCACCCCAATCAATACTTCTGTATTGTGTAAGCTTCTGTCATTATTTTCTTGTCAAAGAGACAGGCTTTGTCCTAATCCTGTCCCTGTGCTACGATGAAATGAACCATTCTACAAGATGAGGTGTTTAGCAATCACTTTAATGGCAAGACCATAGGTAATCAATGCCAATCATTGCACCCCAGAAATAATTCTGTATTTTTTTAATCTACTGGTAAGGGATATTCTTCCCTGAAACAGATGGTGTAGACATACAATAGTTATAACTTACAGAGGTCAATGCTTCCTCACCTTCCAGCAATATTAAGCCAACTCCATGTAAATACAAAATTAAGAAAACAAACTAATTTGACATTTATCATTCCCTTTTCCTCCCAAGGGGTGTGAATCTGAATGAACACTACATGTATCAATGAGTTGTAAGAAGAGATACCATTAACTGACCTGACTATGAGGGGCAGATGATCATGGATCATCACTGTGAGTTTGGGTAGGTAATAAGTACACTTTGTGTGTTAATAACTGTTTCCTTGAAAGAAAAAGGAATGGACAGATACTAGTACCATTGTTGACAATCTACCCAAACAGAGCAATGGAATTAATCACACTTACTAACTAATTATATATACTATGAAATATAGTTTTCTAATAAATCAATCCCTCTACCACCGAACAGTGTAAGCAGGCTGGTAACATCCGCCATACTGCTACAGAGTTCCCCCCCTTGAATCTCCCAGCCTGGCCACCAGTCTATTTCTAGCACACAAGACAGGCCTGCCCTGAGAAGAAGAGTCACACTATCTTGTCTTGTGGCAGCTGTGAGGGGGGAGTGTGGAAATGTCAGATATATACAGTTGTGGGGAAGGGAATATTCCTTGACATACCACCAAGTGTAGCATCATGTCTTGTACAGATGGGAGACTGGCCAAGCCATTTCACTGTTCGTTTCACTGACAAATAACATTAAGAATTTGCTCATGCAATTTTAGTTGTGCCACCAGAACTTGTGTTATTGTTTATATACTCTGGATAATATTAGCATCAGTAGCAGCAATAGCAGCAGTAGCAGCAGCAGTAGCAACCACAGCACTGCAATATTAAACTAGTGGACCTTGGTCTATCTTCAACTACAATGACTTTTTATGAACAAACTCGCCAGTGAATTTCATCTGAGTTGCAAGCTGCAAGTGTCTCTGTATGCCAAACACAGCATGGTAGTATGTTAGTAAGCCTGTGAGAGGTCATGGCTGCCACACATCCCCTGCCTGTTACACGCCACAGCA